GACAACTTGACATCCAATAGATTTTGGTTGTCAAGTTGTCAAATCAGATAAACAACATCAGGAAAAAAAGTTTCTCAATTGCCATTTATAGATAAGGAAACAAAAAAGGCAAAACAGGTTGTTTTTTGATTTGATAATAATCCCGTTTATAAATGGAATTTGGGAATTAAAGTAGCCTCTATGTATTCAGTTTCAGATCTGAGTGTCTGTCTGTTGAACGGCCGAGGGCAGAGTAGCTACATGCGCACAAAGGGCTCAGGGCAGAGGCCACAGCCGAGCAAACAGGAGGATGCAACACATTTAACATTTCTAACACTGTTTTGCTAATACCTTTGGTCCAGCCTATCTTTGTGCCTGCTTAGGATGAGCACTTTGAATCTTAGGGAATAGTTTTCAATACCAGATTGGCAGAGCACACATTCAGCCTGAGAGTTCAAGAATCAACATTAAGTTCATCCACTTGCACGAGCAGTTGATATTGAGTAGCACCTGTATCATCGATACATACTGTGACATTTCTGTATCACAACATATTGAATTTAGATATACTGGCCCATCCTTATTCAAAACTGAATCCACAGCACAGTAAAATGTTTTACGGTGAAGGGGTCTGAATACTTTCTGAACCTGTACGTGGTTAATTGTGGGAGTGTTTCACTTACCAAAGTGTGCATTCTCAAGGCGACTGTGATTTATAAAGGGAAACTGCATTGAAGTATGCATGTGCACGGTTTTATAAATCTGATTACTTTTTGGAATATGCCATTTGTGTACACATAAACTTTTATTATAGATACTATACAGTTTTACAAACATGTGTCCGGAACCTGCCAGCCAGAGTTTTGTATGCTGTATTTTAAACAAATATCCAGAGCCTATACTACTGTATCTGTACCTGTTGGTGTCCTTGTCGACCAGCAGACAGTGGACTGAGTGTCTCAGACAGTAGATCCCTCCAAACACAGCGCACATCCTGAAATGAAGCAACAGCTGAGTCAGAGGTGTGTCACAGGTTAATCACAGGTGTGATCCAGTCAGCATGAAGGAAGACAGGATGTGTACAGCTGAGATCATAGAACTGAATCTGCACTGGAAGTGAAAAAAATGTTCAGCCTTATACAAATGTCCAAGGCAAAGATGTTTAATTACAAAGTAACACAAAATGTCCAAAAGTATATGAACAGCAAAGGGAACTTATCTGCACAACACCAAAGAGCAGTGAAACCAAAGCCCATTAATTTACACATTAATTAATAGGTGTGTAAATAAGTTAACTGGATTTGAATAAATTACTAGGCAGTAACATATTAGGATATTATTGAGTATCAGCACTGCTTAAGGTAATTTCCAGGTGTGAAAAGCTCAATTAATCTCTATCTCAAAAGGATAACAGAACATTTTCATTTAAGATGATAAATATAAATCTTGGACAGATTTATACACTTTATATGAAAATATAAGTATTTCTTACCCATTAAACCAACTTAAACCACAGACACTGTATGGGAAAACACATATTATAATCCTTCAACTAAATCCAATAATGACACCAATTCATACGAAATATGCACAATAATTTAAAATAATTAAGGTTCACTTACAATACAGAATAGCTTATACGAGAACATGATATTTAGTAACGTCTCAAAAACTCTGGGGAAAAAAAAAACAAAAAAAACAAACAAAACCATACCTTTGGATACACAGTACATTTTGGTCGGAGGGGTCCACATACTGTCAATCGCATGGTGCAAATGATCAATGTCCGCCTACTTTTGACCAGATAGTGTATGTCAGTATGCAGATTTTCAGAATGCAAACTTTATTAAGAAGGAGACTGTTAGAGGGCATGTCTGTGATGACTGATAGGTGTTTCAGCCAGTCACAGGGAAGTGTGCCCCCCAAGCTCACTTCATAAATCAGTCTCTCACACACTTGTTGACCTTTTGTTACACATACACATTTAATGTCCAACAATCTGCCCATCATCACATATTAATTACACTGTATGTGTGTGTGTGTTCTCATCACAACAGGCTGAGCCAAGTCTCACAAACATGAACTAATGGAGTTTAATGTTAGCGTGTGTGTCCTTGATTAAAAGAAAACAAAACATTAACTGTAGAAACAAAGGGAAATCGCAGCACACACAAACATCAGGTGTGTTTGTGTGTATTAATGCATGTCTGAGCCGAGCAGTAATTTACGCTGAACACCATCTAATATGTAAATGAGCTTAGCCCTGGGCGACACCCTCCTCATTAATATTTGTGCACTGTACTAATGAGACAGCAGCATCACCTTAACAACCAGCTAATCCATCTATGGAGAATTTACTGTTCTGCAATAATGACAACATACAGTCTGCTGGTAGCTGAGGTAGTGTGGTAGTAATTGCAAAAGAAATACTGGTGGTAGTAGCAGAGACAGAAGAGGAAGCAGTACCTGTAATAATACTAGTACTTCTACTATCTCTGCTGCTTATCTGTTTCTTAGTAGTCCCAGCAGTAAAAAGAGCAATAGCAGGAGCAGCACTACTTGTAGCAGTAGTAGCAAAGGCAGTATAAATGCAATAATGGTAGACAGCCAGAGAGGGTAAACATATAGACAGGTTAACAGGGGGACAGGTAAAGCAACAGGGTCTTACCTACAGAAACACTGTGGTATCTCTCCGAGGCCATAGACCGGAAACAAGAAGGGAGTGTTGCCATAGCGACCCAGGCAGCGTAGGAAGTGACGTGTTGAGGCGAGCCCCTCCTCTGTGGGTACATCCTCAGTCACCATGGCAATGGAGTGAATCAGGAAGTGCTGTATGCTGTCTCCAATCTGCTGGTCACGCAAGAACTCAAAATATGGCCGACCATTGTAGGCTGGAGAGAAAATACAGTGCTAGGTTACCGCAGTGCTGTTTATATGCAGTTGCTATGAATGTCCTGATGATGTCTTCAGGTAGACAGGTAAGGTGTCTCACCTCGCTGCTCCTCCGTCTCCTCCACACAGGAAGTCAAGAAACGCATCAACTTCCTCTTTTCTACCACTGACAACTGACGACTAGCAAACACATCGGCTCTGCTGCAGGGCACCTGAGGAACAGACAATACAGAGACAGACAAGTAACACATCGGCTCTGCTGCAAGGCACCTGGTTGACAGACAGGTATGAACAGACAGGTAAATACAGATTGTACAAACCTGTTCCACACTGCCGTGGCGATATGTAAGTATCCTGGTAACGTTCTTGAACTCTGCATAGCGACTGACATTTGATTTGATGAGCAGATCAACCAATGAGCCACGAGAATACATAAGCTGCAGGAAGAGAAAACAATCAGCCAGTCAAACCAATTGGCTCACAGGTGTTTAGTGAAGCCAAAATTTCATGATATCACAGTTTTTGCCTGCTTACATCATTGTTACCTTACATTAACACTGCGTATATGTTGCTGTGCTCAGTTATCTTGTATGGTTATGTTTATTTGGTTTCACTATATTGCCATACTGTGTTGTGCTATGTTATATTGCTGTGTTATGTTAAATTGCATTATGACATATTGTCACATCATGTTAGATAATGTAATGTTAGAGATAATATTTCTCTATACTGTAGTGGTTAAAAACAAACAAGTTACAAATACAAGTTAAAATGTAATATGCCAGAGGGTACAGGCCTTGGAGTCAGTGGAACAGTACTTGTATAATTTGGCAGGCTTCGACCTTGTTGTCCTGAGAATTGTCTGTGTGCAAAAATGAGAACTTTAGGAAGGTGACCCAACTGTTTCCCATTTCCTGTACATCACAGGGTGTTTCCTCTTAAAAGTGAACACAGGAAGCTCAGGAATTGACATAAGACCCAAAAGCAGCTGTGAATAAAAAGAGCTAGATTGACTGTAGGATGATGAAGGGGATGCTGTTTTTGTGATAGTGGAATGAGTGTGCATTCGGACCCGGCCAGGTGGGGGGAACCGACTCTGGACGACTGTACTGTATGGTCAACAATGGCTGACTGACAATTCTCTTATCTAATACTTTTGTTTATTTCTATGCAGAGACGGTGATTCTGTTCTCCCATCTTTCAGATTGTTGAACTGCCTTTCAAGTTATTGAACTGTTGAGAATTATTGTGGTATTAAATGATCATTGGAATTGGAATGATTTTCCTGAATTAATTTAGTTCACATCTGACCTCAACCACCACAGTACATTATACTTTCAGGCTGTGGGAAGTTATAATGATACAGTACACTGTTATACAAGATTGCTCTGCTGTGTTACATTACAATGCGTTGCTATGTTATCTTGTACTGTTAAAGTATTTAATATAGCTACTGTATGTTACATTATCTTATGTCTGTGCAGATTCTCAGTGATCCAGGTCATAGTAAGCTGAAAAAAAACTTAGAAAAAATCAACTGGACTAGATTTCTAGGTTGAAGACGTTTCACCTCTCATCCAAGAGGCTTCATCAGTTCTGACTCCCCGGTGTCTCCTATAGTTGCCAACCTGTACATGGAAGAAATTGAGGAAAAAGCCCTGTGTTCCTTCACTGGTACCGCTCCCAGCCACTGGTTCCGCTACGTGGATGACACATGGGTTAAAATCTGGACCCAGGAGGTAGAGGCTTTCACTAAGCATATCAACTCTGTGGATGGCAACATCAAGTTCACTCGTGAAGATGCCAGAGATGACTGTCTGGCCTTTAAAGCAAGGATGATTTGGCTACCTCCTCTGCCGCAATAAAACTTGCTTTCACAGCAGCTTCACTGTGTGATTGCGCTTTGGTGAAAATGACTGCTGTGATGTCAGCTTCCTCTTAACTCCCTTAAGGCTTGTGGATACCCTAAGTGGGCCTTCACCAAAGCAAGGAAGATTTGGCTACCTCCTCTGCCGCAATAAAACTTGCTTTCACAGCAGCTTCACTGTGTGATTGCGCTTTGGTGAAAATGTCTGCTGTGATGTCAGATTCCTCTTCAGCTCCTCTACCTTCTGCTCTGCATTCACGTTTTTCAGCTTGTCCTGATGTTTTGTCTTGTAGTGCCATCTTAGGTTATATTCCTTAATTACAACCACATTAGCTCCACACATGGGTTTACCGGCAATGTCAGTAAACATATACTCAGCCTCCCACCAGTTTTGAAAGGCTCTGTATTCAGAATCAACTTTTCTCTTGGCCATTGTTAGGGGCTAGCTTTAACTTGAAATTAGGGATGTATACATCAACAGACGCTTGATTGATCTGACATAATTGACGCGGGAATGATCGCAGGTTGCATATTGTTCGGTAAGGCAGCTGTTGCGCTGCATTACGGGATTTGTAGTTTGTGTGTTATCAATGCTTCATATCGCTGGGCCATAAAAAAAAAAAAAAAAAAAAAAAACATAAATAAAATGATCTCGCAGGCCGGATGTAATTGTACGCCGGGCCAGATGTGGCCCGCGGGCCTCGAGCTTGACACGTGCCTTGAAGGGACTTTCTTCAAATTTTCTTCAGGTTTCCACTTAGATTCAAAGATTAACTGATTAGATTTTGGTGGTAAAAGGTCAAGCTCACAGTCAGTTCTGTCCCACACCCATGAATTTGACTGAGGGGCATACAACCACAAAATGGTCATTAAGCTGCTGTTATATTTTATTATATCATGTTTTGTCAAGTTACCTTAGAAATGAGGTCGATGTTGAACCTCCGTCCTTCCTTCACCAGCTGAGCGTAGTTGATCTTCTTCCTGATTGGCTCTGATTTGCTCTGAGCAGCAGAGGGGTGTGGCTGGTCTGCATCTAGCTCCTCCCCTTTTGTCTGAGCAACCTGTGATTGGACAAAACATCTGTATGTCATCCACCTGCATTGTTTACCCATCATGCTCTTGTACTGACTACCCATCACCCACCTCTAGAGACTACTCATCATGCACCTGTAGAGACCACCCTTCATCCACCTGCAGACACTACCCATCATCCACCTGTAGAGACCACCCATCATTCTCCTGTAAAGACTACCCATCATGCACCTGCAGAGACCACCCTTCATCCACCTGCAGAGACTACCCATCATTCTCCTGTAAAGATTACCCATCATGCACCTGTAGAGCCTACCCATCATTCACCTGCAGAGACCACCCTCATGCTGTAATAAACTGCTGCATTGTGGGTTAATTTGTATTTTTGATGCATAGCTGCTTCAGTCTAATCTGCATCTGACTGATCAGTTACTGATTTCAGATGAATACAAGTGATGTGTTCATACCAAATCTGAATCTCTATTGATCCTTTCTGCTGTGTTCACCTGTTGTTCTCCGTCCGCTGTTTGTTCTGCTTTGTCTTCAGGTTCCTCTTCCTTGGCATCTGGAATAAAAAAACAACTCATTGGTCCAACTAGTTTTGATGTTTTCTTATCTTATACTGCACTTATTAAAACATGTAATCCAATAAAATCAGATGCAGCAGTGAGTGAATGTCACAGATCTGATTACCTTTTCTGTAGAATTCTCAGATTAAAGATTTGTTTACACCTGAGCCTTTCTTAGGATCACGCTGAGCTGTTTGTGTTCAGATTTAAATATTAAATGAAACATCTTACACTAGATGTGTCAGATATGAACAAAACCTTCAAAACTGTTCAGTTACTGATCAGTAAATTTGTTATTAATCTGATTTAAGTTTATAATTCACTGAGTGAAAGATCAACATTAAACATGGATCTGATCACAATCCAACCTGCAGATTCTGTCTCTGAAGGTTCTTTAGCAGCCTCTTCATCAGCTGCCTCTGCAATTTCTTCTTCTGTGGTGTTCAGAGGATCAGGCCTCTGAGCTTCCTCCTCATCCTCCTCTCTGAAAACAGAACAATCCAATGATCTATGAACGTGAGGACATCAGGACTAATGTTGAATAACCAAAGAAAAATTAGATAAATATAACAAAACAAAAATAGATTTGAAAGTAAAACAGGATGTTTCATGATAAGCTTCAGTCTGATGCACTAACATAAAGAACGTCATAATCCTGCAGAGAGGCAGCCTCGTCAGATATTTTACTGTCTTGTGATCACTTCAACTTTGTTGTTTATATTCAGTGTTACAGTCTTGACAGAATAGTAGAAGCAAGAATCAAAGGAAAGGTGTACAAGACAGTAGTGAGACCAGCTATGCTGTATGGGTTAGAGACTGTAGCAGTGAGGAAAAGACAAGAGGCAGAGATGGAGGTAGCAGAGATGAGGATGTTGAGGTTCCCTTTAGGAGTGACCAGGAGGGACAGGATTAGGAATGAGCACATCAGAGGGACAGCTCAGGTCGGCTGTTTTAGGAACAAGGTCAGACAGGCCAGATTGAGATGTTTGGACATGTGCAGAGGAGGGATAGTGGTTATATTGGTAGAAAGATGTTGGAGATGGAGGTGCCAGGCAAAAAGAAGGCCAAAGAGGAGATATATGGATGTGCTAAAAGAGGACATGAATTTAATTGGGGTGAGAGTAGAGGATGCCGAGGATCGAGTTAGGTGGAAACAGATGATTCGCTGTGGTGACCCCTAATGAGAACATCCAAAAGAAGCAAAAGGAGAAAGATTCAGTGTTACAGTCAGGGTAACACTTCCTGTAGGTTTGTCACATCAACAGCCGTCAAAGGGAGAAAGGAGGATCATGGTCTTTGAACCATTAAGGCTTTTATTGTGAAATAAGAGTGCAGGACATTTCACTGACAATAGTCTAACACAAGATAGGACTAGAATTACCACTTCCCTCACTTGTATCTTTTCCTTGAATCTTAGACCCACCCACATAAGATGTGAGGACAAACTGGGAGGAGAGAGGAACAATACATTTTCTGTAAATTGATTTGATTTCGTTTACTCTGATCTGTATGTGAATTGTTCAATCACAAAGTGATTTATGATAAAGGGGCATGTCAATCCGTAACAGACTTCCACAACGGATGGACTCATGTATCCTCAGTTACAGTTCCTCTAGCAGCCTCCTCACCCCTGAAAGCAGAAATAAGAGCTTTGGGACACATTCATCATGATGGACCACTACAACTTCCGGGTTGAACGAAGGACCCAGGGATGATAAAATAAGGGAATCTGGATTTAGCATGTGACTTTGGTGAGGTCAAGTGACACCAGCACAAACTAATACAACTAAGACGTGTGTTTGATCAGAATCAAACTTGTTCAGGTGGGGAAAAAAAACTAAGCAAACTAAACTACAAGTAACTTGCAAAAGAAAGCGGACATCAATCAAGAGGCAGTTCAGTGTCCCATAATGCCATAACAGCAAAATTCCCATCATAGTGTGACCCTCACAATGTTACTGCTGAGCCATGAAAACCCGTCGCTGGCATTTGGAAGGACACAGTCGAGACACATCAGGTGGGGGGAACCGACTCTGGACGGCCAACAGGCTGCAAGTTTTTCAAAAAAAAAAGGACAAACACGTCGAGAGAAGCCAGCTGAGGTGGCTCGGGCATCTGTTTCGGGTGCCTCCTGGGCGCCTTCCTAGGGAGGTGTTCCGGGCATGTCCCACCGGGAGGAGGCCCCGGGGAAGACCCAGGACACGCTGGAGGGACTATGTCTCTCGGCTGGTCTGGGAACGCCTTGGCATTCCCCCAGAGGAGCTGGAGAAAGTGTCTGGAGAGAGGGAAGTCTGGGCATCTCTGCTTAGACTGCTGCCCCCGCGACCTGGTTCCGGATAAGCGGAGCAAAATGAATGGATGGATGGATGGATGGAGGACAGACATGACAGACAGAAAGTCATTGTTTTAGGGGTAAAATGGAGACCTCAGTGAGCGGAACACGGGCAAAGCGGTGAAGATGTCACATTTCTGCACGTCTGTGTTCTGCTTGCTCAACAGCTGTTTGACAAACTGCTCATATAGTCTCTGCTAGTAGCTGACTGCTGCACTGTGAAGTGATCCTCCATGTCCTCTGTTCAGCTGTGTGTGTGTGTGTGTGAGGAACACAACCACTTCTTCCTCTAAACAGAGACAGTAAATGAACATGCACCCGGTACAGACACGAGCGCTGCTTTCGGTCTGTGCCGCTGTGTAGGCAACCAGGGATGGGCATCGTTAGGATTTTATTGATACTGATGGTGGTCCAACATCAGGACCATCAAGAAGGCACAGCAGAGGATGTACTTCCTGCGCCAGCTCAGGAAGTTCGACCGGCCCCAGGAGCTGCTGATACAGTTCTACAGAGGAATCATCGAGTCTGTTCTCTTCACCTCCATCACTGTCTGGTTTGGCTCGGCAACCAAGCAGGACAAGTACAGACTTCAGCAAACAGTGAGGACTGCATAAAAGGTCACTGGTGTGAGCCTGCCATCCATGGAGGACCTGTACACCGCACGGGTCAAAAGGAGGGTGGAGAGGATCAGTGCTGACCCCTCACACCCCGCACACAATCTGTTTGATCTCCTCCCTTCTGGATGGCGTTACAGGTCACTGTACACCAAGACAACCAGGCACAGGGACAGTTTCTTCCCCCAGGCTGTCACTCTGATGAACACTTAACCACGACAGTGTGAGTGGACAATAACCCTCAGTGCAATACCTGTAAATATACCTCGTACAGATTATACAGATCCGTACAGGTCTCTATTTCCAAGTACTCTATTTTTATCCCTATTTATCTCATTTCACTGAGCAATCCTTTTGTCTGTCTACATTGTTTACTGCCTGTTTATACAGCTTATTTTGTTGTATTATTGTTAACTTGCCCCTTGCATGGGGATATGTACATACACATTGAAAGCCAATGTACCAGAGTCATTGCATCACTGTCTTGTATGGCAGCAATACTGCTAAAGGCTCTATTCTATTATAAAGCCACGTTCGGTTCTTTCAAACCAGGAACTCAGAGGGACGACTCAGACCACTAGGATATATAAAAAATATAACCGTGCTGGTTTATTCAAGGATCACAGGCAAAATTAACATTACAAGTCCAGAGATCTTCCAACCCCCAGGCTGCCCAAGCAGCCCGGAAGCAGCAAGAGCCCCGAACCAAGAATTGCTATACAATATCATCACTTAGTTGGCTCGCCCCCTCCTCCACAGAAACGTCAACCGAGACGTCTCTCTCTCACCAGCTTTGCAGCTGGCTATAACGTTAGCCAAAACATGAGGAAAAGTCAAGGTGTGTGGCTGTTGTTTTCGTGGTGTGTATCTAAAACAATTTGACATAACATTACACATTAAGACAAATATTATGGTCACTTTTACCGTCATAATAACATTTATCCCTGACCGCAGCCTTTCTCTGCTTTAACTAACCTTGCATTTAACAGCCTGAGGAAGACATCCTGGCTACACTAACATCTTCTAATACAACAGATCTCTAAATATCTATCTAACTAAGAAATAACCTAACACTCCCAAGGCTGTAAATTGGACTCTGGCCGGAGGTTCAGAAGTGTGAAATGCAGGACCACTAGACTGAAAAACTCTTTCTTTCCCTCTGCCATCAGACTCCTAAACAGCTGAGTTTATTACCAGGAAATACATCATGTACTGACGACCTGTACTGTTTACATTCTCAGTTTGCACATGCATAATTGCACATTGACTGCTGACTGCTGCACATGCAGCTCCCATGCAGCATACACTCTCTTATTATATTCTTTTATATTTTTATTATATCTCTGCATTTGCTGCTTAAAGTGCCTTAGATTTTGTGTTACTTATTCATCTACTTTATATTTCATTTGTATTTTGTGGCATTCATGTGGACGGCAAAGTAAGAATTTCATTGTACAGGGATTTCCTGTTAACTGTGCATATGACAAATAAACACTTATAACATAATTAAACAGAATTAACATTGTGTATTTTCTCATATATGTGCTACTGCTAATGTTCCTAAGAAGCAAAGTGCAACAGCACAGTTCTGAACAAACGACTAGACTACAGTGTGATTACAGAGACGTAAAAGAAGCCAGCTGAGGTGGCTCGGGCATCTCTTTCGGATGCCTCCTGGGCGCCTTCCTAGGAAGGTGTTCCAGGCATGTCCCACCGGGAGGAGGCCCCGGGGAAGACCCAGGACACGCTGGAGGGACTATGTCTCTCGGCTGGCCTGGGAACGCCTCTGCATTCCCCCGGAGGAGCTGGAGGAAGTGTCTGGAGAGAGGGAGGTCTGGGCATCTTTGCTTAGACTGCTGCCCCCGCGACCCGGCCCCGGATAAGCGGAAGAAAATGGATGGATGGATGGATAAAAGAAGTCTAATTCGGGGCTCTGACAGTGTTTTTACTGTGTGGTGTTTTGCCTCCTACCCTCAGATCACTAAATCCGGCCCTGCTCTGAGCATCTTGCTATTATCAGAGACCCAGGGATTACGCTACATAACCCAGCGTCGTCTGATGCTCTGATGACTTGAATTTATGAATGCACCCATAACAATCTACTGGCAAATAGCTTTGATCAATAATCTATGTTCATATAATTCTATGTGCATGTTACTGCTAACATACATAATATAACAGGACAACAAGAGATGAACTGCAAGATGGGCAGACAAAAACTGTGCATTTCTCCGGCTGTATGTGATGGACCTTTACTAGATGTTTCCACAGATCGCTTGTGTTGGCGCCCTTATGTGGAAAAGACTTGTTGCAACAAGCACCATCAGTATCAGCTGTAGTGAAATGTAACCACACGCACTGTAGTTAAGTTTGCAGTGTGTGTGTGTGTGTGTGTGTGTGTGTGTGTGCGTGCGCGCGCATGCTGCAGCTTTGTGAGTGACAGAGCTGGCCCCGCCCCTCGCACTCAGGCTCCAAGAGACAGATCTGCTTTCTGGATTCGGAAAAGCGAAAACACAGCATAGATGAAGGTATTAATCAGAAACAGAGTCGGTGAGATGATGTGCAAGATAACGTTTAGGTATCAATAATAAATAGGAAATCTGTTTTCTTAACTTCTTCAGTACTAATAGCGGAACCATTAACACCGGGGCTTACTGATGCTATGGTATTTAATAATTTAGCACCGGTTCTTGTTTAATACTGGGCTTCAGTTCCCACCCCCAGACCTATACACGATGTACATGTAAATATGACCGGCACAGAGTCGGATATCTCAAAGTGATCGCCCAGTCACAGGTCATGGCTGATCAAACTAAAAACCGGTGCACCTCTAAAAATCAATAATGTTCTCTCTTGCTCAGTTTTGTCAAAATTACATTTAAAGTAAAGTGCATATCTGAGTTTGTCAGTGTTGGTGTGGGGGGGGGGGGAAAGGACAAGAAGAACTCCCTGTGGGTACTTATTTTTTACAAACTAATCTATTGATTGAGGAACTAATCAACAGATTAGTTGATAATGAAAATTGCTAGCTGCTGCTTTAAACCCAGCATCTGAAATCAAACACACAAAACAAATAACTTGTCAAACAAGTCAGCAGCTTACCTGGTGAAACAGAACACCTTCATGTTCCTGAAAGAGGCGGAGTCTGAATCATTCAGGTAGATTAGCTCCTCCCCTTCCTCCAACAGGCTGGACCAATCCTGAAGCTCCTGTGGCTGAGACTCCTCCTACCGACACACACACACACACACACACACACACGTTCTGTTTTCATTCCTTGTGGGGAATTTACATTGACTTACATTCATTTCCTGTAGACTTACCCTAACCTTAATCATAATCACTACTTGTCTAACACCCAACCTAACCTCATCCTAACACCTAAACCATGTCGCCACTGTAAATTTCAGTGATTGGCCAAGTCCCCACAGTGTATGTTAACAGGTTTCGGTCCTCATGATGTAAGTAATACAAAGGAACACACAGAGAGAAACAGATTAGGATAACCACAACAATGTTCTCCATCATCAGAAGCAGCAGTGCAGTTCTCCATGTTTGTAGTTTTTCTGCAGCAACTTGGAGGTAACCTCAGTAGCCAATCAGGAAGCAGCACTATACTCACAAGGTGTTCTTGTATCCAGGTGAGAAGGCCATTGAAGGTGAAGCTGGCCCAGTTCGCTGCGTAATAACGCTGCCTGCAAACACAAACAAGAATCTGTCACTTCACAGTGAGGACAAAACTCTCAGAATAAAAGCCTACCTGACCACAGAAACATATTAACACTTGTTTGTATTAAATATTAACTGCAATAAGGTAAAGTAACTCTTATAAAGTCTAAAACTGTTTATTTTAAATGTCACTCTGACACGTGTCTCTCTCCTACAAATTTCACATTTCAAAACTGCTTTGTGCAGGGTTTCAGTATTTTTAAATTAAAGTGGTTATTTGAAGGGGAAAAAAACAGACTCATTCACCAATAAATACCATGAAAAAATGTGAATAGTTGCATAAATAAATATCAGAATTAGAATCTGCTTTATTGGCCAGGTGTGTTGGACACACGAGGAATTTGACTCTGGTACATCAGCTCTCAATGTGCAAACAGTAAACCAGCATAAGGCTGTGTAATATAACAAAAATAAGTATTTACAAGCAACAGAAAGTGCAAACAATGCAGAATAAGCAGTATGAACAGACAGTAAAAATGCAGACAACAAAGGAATGTTCTTTGAAATGAGATAAATAGGGATAAAAATAGAGTACTTAAAATGGAGCACTAGGGACATGTACGATTCTATATAATCTGTACAATGTACAGTGCCTTGCGAAAGTATTCGGCCCCCTTGAACTTTGCGACCTTTTGCCACATTTCAGGCTTCAAACATAAAGATATAAAACTGTAATTTTTTGTGAAGAATCAACAACAAGTGGGACACAATCATGAAGTGGAACGAAATTTATTGGATATTTCAAACTTTTTTTAACAAATAAAAAACTGAATAATTGGGCGTGCAAAATTATTCAGCCCCCTTAAGTTAATACTTTGTAGCGCCACCTTTTGCTGCGATTACAGCTGTAAGTCGCTTGGGGTATGTCTCTATCAGTTTTGCACATCGAGAGACTGAAATTTTTGCCCATGCCTCCTTGCAAAACAGCTCGAGCTCAGTGAGGTTGGATGGAGAGCATTTGTGAACAGCAGTTTTCAGTTCTTTCCACAAATTCTCGATTGG